TCCCCCACCACCCTCGTTTCCATTTGAAGGACAGCACAATCTTTTCGCAGTCTAGAGGCCCTGAACTGCCTTCTTGTCCCCAAAAACTTGGTGCCGCACAAGTGCGAAACAGTCTCAAAAACTGTGTTCTCTCCCTTTTGTGAATTCTCAGCCAGATTCTGGTTGGGAATTCTTTTTTTACCAGTCTTGAGCGAGAAGCCACGAGCATGAATATGTATTGCTTGAAAAAACTGCGTGCACTAGCAGTTGCAGAACTTTGAACACGAGAAGAATGTCTCAGTCAAGCAAAATGTGGGCATGAAATCTTGGGCAGGGGGGCTGACCGATAGCAGCTCAATTTGTTCACACGCCATGGCCAGAGCGCGAACCTCCAAGAGCATCGGTCAACATCTGCTTGTTAGCTTCCTTGGTCGTGATGCGCAGCTACACTCCTGTGTGCAGAGAAAGTCCGCATTATGTCTTTGCCCGTGGCCCGGCCCCATTCTGCTTCAGACCGTACGACTCTGTTCTATCCGTGCAGGGCAAATCCGCATTCGGCACGTTGCATGCGTCGATGCTGCCAGGTTGCCACATAGCTTCGAACTTCCTGCCGGACCCACCCGCACACCCGTCTGACCGTCTGCACACCCTGGCCCTAGACCACGAAAGGAAATCGGAAATCCTATGATGCACTATGACCCAAACATATATTTGGAGCATCATGCGTTCAGGAGACTTGCAAAGTCTTCATGTGGCTTTGCCTTGCGCTCAAGATAAGGCATCAATCGATTCAATCGGCCGTGCATAGTGACCCGACGACCTGTTTATGGAATGATCGGGCCAACAGCGATTGCCTCTGCGGTCCCCTCCGTCACTGTGGCTATCGTGTCCGCGCCGCAGCCGAAGGACTTCAGCACCTCTGCCTGCACTCGAGCTTGATTTCGACCCTCACATGTGAGATTCTTGCGGAAGAAGCTCATCCTCGACAATGTTCAGTATGAGGCATCTGGGCCACGCCGTCATGCCCACCCAGAAACATATCCCAGATGAACGGCGTTCAAGCAACTACCTGACTGCGGCAGCATTCACTTTTGGTCATGGACCCCTAGGAACCCTGAGCGAAACATCACTCTCGCTGACCCACACGAATGTGCGTGGGTCGTAGGCCTAAAACCGCTACAGTATACAATTCATGTCCATGAGCGCAAGGTTGCTGTCGCAGTCCATGAGCTTAAGCTAGGAGCCGTGAACACAGTCAAACCAGTACCACGCCAATACGACAATGAGCAGTCTTGAGCACAATGTTACCTTCATAGTGACAAGCTTTAACGTCCGTGAGCAAAATGCCCTCAGCCATGATCTCTCAGGAGCGGAAACTCTGTCACGGACACTCATGGATGGAAGCAAGCAGAGGGCGACAGGGCAAGAAAACTGATTCAGTACGAGATGATGAGTTGAAAGAAGCTATCCGTGTCAGAGGAAAGAAGCTATCCGTGTCAGAGGACCCTCTCTCCTAACGGTCCTTACGGCTCCCCACCAACCCACTCCCTTCTCCGTCTTTCAGGCATGGTCAAGCAGCGCTCCAGAAACACGAGTTTGAGTCAGGCCAGGTTTGATTCAAGCCTGTCTTCAGTAATCAAGGCGTATTTGCAATGAATTACACGGAACACCACCTGGGCAAGAGGCTGGCCTGAATGATCTTGAACTTCTCCGAGATGCGACCTCAAGCCACAGGGCTTTGCAGAGGTGGTGGGTCGCTGGGCTGGAGTAATATGAAGTCTGAGTTTGGATATCGTGTGTTTATCCTCTTTGATGATAGCCTTATACCGCGCCAGTTCTTAAGTGATGTTGACAGGCAGGAATTAAGTTCAAGCACCGTCGCCGTGATTCGTTACAAATCATCTATTGTCTTGTTATCATATTATCATTCTAGTATATTCATGATTATGTACAACAACTTAGCTCATCTGTCTGAAGCTGCCTGAATCGGAATAGCTGAGATCAGGGCACTCGACTGCCAACTCCTTCCCTCGGTTGCACTGCAGCGACTTGGACTGTAAGTCAAGGCTTGATTAGTCAATGCAGAAATGCACACTGAAGTCATGCTCTGACTTGTGACTTGGGCCCAATGTCCTGCTCTCGCTGCCACTGTATCGTCTGTTTACCCTGTGTTTACCGGAACGCCAGGCTGGATATCCCAGCGGGCGCTGGCTACCGAAGGGGCTGAAGGACAAAGCATTGATGAAGCATTTTGCTTGGGATCGATTGTTGATGGCTTTTGGCCGTTGAGTACTGAGGGCCTCTGTGCCTCCACTTGTGCTACAGTAGACGACACCCATCTGACCAAACTACGGAACCATGCGGTGCCAATGCCTGGGGTTGGAGCCCAAGTTGATCAGGCACCGCCATTGGCTTTTCCGGCCACCCTGGTCAAGTGTTCAGGCTGCTAGAAATTCCTGGGAGCCCGGGCGCAGCTGTTCTTCGTCAATGTGGACCCCCTGCGCTTTGAGATGCTGGCGGACATCCTGCGTGGTTAATCTCAGAGGTAGAAGCCACTTAGCTGACAGAGAAAGCTGATCAGTCACCCACAGAGTAACATAGCTTGCACAAGGTCCTGCACGAGCCATGTTTCCGAAATAGCAATCCAAGGCACTAGCGCAGCAGACAAGTCTCTCATCCGCACGTTGACGCTTCACTTTACCCAGTGCAGGCAGCACGCTACAGAGTCTACAGGGCCATACAGAATACCTGTCAAACTAGCACACACGCAGAGGAACAGAGCGTGGCATGCTGGCATACCTGCCTGCGAGATCAGGGCCACATCCCGAGCCACGTGAAACAGACGGCGTCGAAGCTCTGACAGTACTGTGAGAAGTAACTCCTCCTGAAAGGCTTGCGAGGTGCGAGGAGTCGAGGTTCTTAAATTCTACCGGTCAGAAAAGCTTTAGCCGGCAATACTGGACCTATGTCTATAGGGCCACAGCCGGGGCCCCTCCTGCATGTCGTTCACGCATTGTCGCGTATGTTGCGAGCCCCAAGTGCTTCAGCAACGCATGAAGGGCAACCCAGTGCTTGGGATGTTAGAAGAAGAATTAGCATAGAGTCCTCCTTGGCTTCTGCAGCCCAGGCTGTCCAGGCAGCTGCAGCGGCCGCGGCAGTGGCCGCCAAAAGCCCCGCTGCTCGGAGAACCCTTGGCTGAGGGATCTTAAATCACAGGGTAACCCGCAAACTGCCTCAAACTTCGCAGGACTGCCCCAACTTTGCCATATGTCTGTCGACATCCATTCCTAATGGCAGCAAATACGTACTTGCAATCATGCCAATACTTGAAGCCTCGGCCTAGCTATTGACTGGAGGGTTTCAAAGCCCTTCCGGGCATCGGTAGCCCATACACTGCGAGGCCTGTCCCCGACCTGGTCTTCATTTGAACAGTATCTTGGAAATCGTAGTGGCGCATCCGACATTACCCTGGCTCATGCGCAGGGTTGAGCTCACAAAACCTTCACATCGGCTTGCCTCAAGCACAAGCTCTTCGGCAGGATGACGTGACATGTGGAGCTGCCAGTCTTTTTTGGCCATTGGTGACTCACACTCACCAACAAGTCAGAATCCCGGGCTTGCAAATCTTGCGCGATCTAGAACTCTCTCAAGCTAGCACACTCTTTCTCATAGCCATGCCAACCGACCCAGCACCTTGCACCTTCTGTGTGTCTAAGAGCGAGGGGCCAAACCATGCAGTTGTGTCATCATCTTAGGGTTGCCTCCTTGCAATTGAACCGGGCGTTTATTGCTCGTTTAAGCCATGCCCGTGAGAGTTCGATAAGCTTTTGTCGCTACCACTTCGTGCTTGGACGAGCATGCTTCCGCAAAGTGTGCACGTACGACCAGTAGCAGCGGCCATGCGTCTACTTCTTCGAAAGTGACTAGAATGCCCAGACCGGCGCTATCTGGCGCTTGAGGTTGACTGCGCCAGATTTCCGACCCGGATTTGAGTCAAACTCGATAAGTCAAGCCAAAGCGCCGCCACCAGCTGCCTGGCTCATCTGCACCAGCGTACTTGCCCTGGAACCTTTGCGGGACACTGGAAGCCAGCTGCAGATCGGCAGATAGGTTCCCGAAGCAGGCTCTACATTGGTCTTTTGAAAGTCAGGAAGGAATTCATTGGTTTTTTTCAAAGTCAGGAAGGAATTCTAGATACACCTCACAGCAAAGTAATGCACGACCTCTTGGCAACTCAAAGACGCTGGACATACGTACAAATCTCACCCGCTGTGGGTAGCAGGTAGCCAACAGCATCCTTCCCTACCTTGGACGCGTGCAAGGGTGGCTGTGGCGACACGTTTGCTCTGATCGCTTCGGTATTTTGCAGATACAGGGCGCCATGACTGCGTACCTCAAGTCCTTTTGTGCTGGATCAAGGCAGGTTTCGCAACCCTTCATCCATGAGCAGCTAACGTTTGTAGGGCAGCTGGGGTTCCAAGCCTCCACAAGTATGCTCTTCAAATCTGGTGCCACTGAGCCCCCGACATGATGGAAATGGAGGGGTTGCGGCGATGCAGATCCAGCTTGAGCCGAAATGGAGGCGCATGTGCGACGTATTTCCCATCCTTTTATTGCATGGTCTGCTTGGGTACAGTTTGTCTAGCTCTGGTGCTGATCACCTTCGTCCAAAACCTGACTATCCAAAGCTCCTGGCTGTGGATTTGACCCGCAACATCATAGGGGAGCCTTCTTCCGAACCCCTCACCGGCAGAACACGAGCTACTCTCACAGTGCGCAATCTTCGCACAACTCGCGGAGCGGAAGAACAGGGCAGAAACTCAAAACTGTGCGGCTCTCAGCTCAACCCCTGAAAGCTGCACATCATTGTACATCCCAGGCAGACTTTCTATTTCGAGTACAAGCCTGGAGCCCGGTTGCCTGGCATGGCACAGAAACCTTGAAGACATGAGTATTGCTAAGAACAACTACATGAGAAAGCGAACCTGAACAGTACAGCGATGGTTGGCTGGGCCCACAGCAGTGACATCTGTGAGCTCGGTAAGTTGGGAGCTTTCTTCTCCCAGGGCATCTTGATATTCCTGGCACGGGGTATCACCGGGTCTGTCCACCGCTGTCCAGGGTCACTGCTCATCACGGATACTGTCAAACAATGTGTCCCGATGAAAGTATCGCCAACATGCAACAAGGCAAGTGAAAGAGGCTGTACAGGATGTGTATATTTACTGCAGGTGTCAAACCTTTGCATTGCAGCTCAAAGCGCCAGTACGATGTTTGCTTGTTCTTGCCGCAGCAAAGCAAGAAAAGTGCCGGCTGGACGTGATCTTGGTATCCACTCCTTGATGCCAAGTTGGTTTAAAGCACCGGCCCTCGAGAGAAAATATATTGCTTTCAGTAGGAGATCAGCAAGATGGCACGGGAGACTCTCGCACTGCTGAAGCTGCCCTCAATGAACATACATCTTTCCATGAAGTCTAAGCCTAAATAGACTGAACCGCAAATGGACGACAAAACGTGACCCTAGCCATGGCTAGGTGTCTAAAGTCACCAGCGGCACATGCAAGGCCGCTCCGCGTCGTTCCACAACCACCACTTGGAGATGGTCATTCCGAGGACTGCACGAGAACTCCAGGAAAAATCACGAGAGCCCAAAAGAAGGGCACCTTGAACCTTAGTCATTCCATAGACCAACCCTGCGCCACCAGGCTTGGCTTCTTATGGCAGTCACTGTCTAAGGCAGTCTGCTCGAACTAGCAGGAAGTGAAGGCTTGCTGGCCATTCAGTTGGGTAAAGGAAGTTTTGGGAGCTTGCCAGCGAGTGGGTTGCCATAGCCATGTTCTCCAGATGACCTACAACTAAACCCAATTCGAACCCTCGCTTCTGCCGGGGCACTGCATCGTACTCGAAGTGAGACAAACCGAAAGAAGCTTCCTGCACTTCCGCCGACTGGACCTCGCATCAGATTCGGACGTTTAAGCTTGCAACTGCTCGCTTTGCACTCTTAATTATAAGGTTTAGTTAGCGCAGCTCACGCCCGAGTACACTCGCGCGCACCATGACAAGGATCCCTTCTGAGATCTCTGGGTGTGGGCCCTGAGGGGCCTCGTGCTCCGACTCTCAAGCAATCGATTTGCCTCAAGTCCTGCAGAGCTGCGGCTCTGCTCGCAGTTGGCAACCGTGTTCCCCCAAAAGCTGGCCAAACACCGACATGAAAGCCCGAAAAACCTCAGCAAAATCCGAACGCTGAGCCCAAAGTCTTTGCCGGAAGGCGGGTTCAGATGCATCGGGCTGCGCCAGGGAGGGAACCTCAGAGTCAACGAAGGGCACCCTACGACACCATCCCCACACCCCCGCCCCCGCCCCCGGCTCTACTCGGATCTTGGGCCTACGATGTATTGTATCAATCTGAAACCTCTTAAGGGTTGCTGGTCCGAGCTGTACCCGTTCGGTCGCACTCTGGCGGGGAACAAGTCGCTGAGGCTCAGACGCGGTTTCGAAGCAGCAAGAAATCCTGCTCAGGTTGCATCTCTGTACATTTCGTGGGACCCTATCTGCCCTAGATTCAGTCGAAGCTTTTAAGCCCGAGGTTGCACAATGTGTATAGGCCTGGGTTAAAGTTAAAGACTGTGGGTTTATCTGCAGGCTCCAGGTATCTCACAACTCGGCCTTGCAAGGTCAGGTTCATATATATTATCAAGAGCACCAGGGAGCAGCCGATATCAACAGGGCCCTCTGATATTCCAAGAACCCTACATAGACCCCAAGTCCTGCACTTCGCGGCAATTGACCGCATCCCGCCTTGCGCAGTGTGCTGATGATTGTTGAACTTAGCTAGATGTATTAGGGTAGATTTCCTGGAAAGATATACTTGCGCCCTGAGCTGCCAAGTAGAAACAGCACTAGTACTACGGCACACAGATGAACATGGACAAGCTTCCTGAAAGCGACGCGTAGCTACGCAGCTACATGCTTGCAAGGCCTCATGTGGCAAGTCTGTAAAAGCCGCCTGTGCAGTTGCCACTGCCCGGATTTCTGTCAATAACCATGCAATCTGCTTCCGCAATTGATCTGCAACCTACACCACTGCCCTGAACTGGAGCCCGTGCATGATGGAAGTCAGCAAAAGCCACCCGACAAGACGCTTGCCGACGCCTAACCCGACTTCAGCAAGACATGACGCAGTTTTGACCAGGCCTTCTGCACACTTCCCTCAGAAAGGAGCTAAGCCCATTCTTTCGTGCTTCCAGGTATTCTGGCGCAAACCTCGGATCTTGGATGGCGAACACTGAAAGAAGCCTTCCACTGCGCCATTTCTAAACCCCAAAATCACCCCCACTTCAAGGATCCACTGGGGTTTACTGGGGTTTAAGGTTTCGGGTTTAGGCAGGTCTACTTCTTGTTCAAGGATCTACCACAACTCCCACAAGAAAGCTGGGTGAAGTGGGGAACCCGAAGAAGCAAAGCCGCGAAGCAACACATGCGCCGAAGAATCACGGTTGTGCCGTGTGCCACAATCCGACAACTTCTTGATTCCTTCATTTGGGTTGATTTCCTCTCTCATTCTCGTGCCGTCCCCTTGTTTCGCCTTTTCTTTCTGCCTCTTGCATTGCTCCCTGATCTGGTTAGCTTGTTGGTGGGCCTTCATGCAATGCCCGAGCAAGAAGCAAGCAAGCAAGCTTCCCTGCTGGGCACGCGGCTGTCTGACCATTGACCTTGGCTCGCCGGCAAAGGGGTCTGTTCATAGCGTTTGGGTTTCGAGCTGAGCATTCGAGGATACAGGTCTAGAGTACTGAAGATGTTGAGTAAGGACAAGGCAGTCTGTCTCCGCATGACTTTTCTGCACAAACCGCAATGCGACCCTTCAATGCGCCGAAGCTGCCAAAGACGGCTCAAAGCCGCTCTGCCCTAGAACCCTTCTAACTGCGGGCAATCTAAGACGAAGACTTCGAAGGCATTGCTGGGACGGATGCCAACTTGTTCTTCAAGGTCTCGGCCGGCAGAGCTATGGAGATGCAAGTTCAACGTGAAAAGAGCCGAGTCGTGCCATGAAGTCAGGGGGTTAGCCGTCTCTTGGAGCCACAGCAACTGAGTGTATGCGAGCTGGCCTGCAAGCTGGACTAGAAAGCAAAAGGATGTCCTGAATGTGGAAGCGATCTCAACAATACATTAGGATCCGTGGTTTTGCAGCGCCCAGAACGGCAGGCCAATGCAAGATCGAGAGCCAAGTGTTTGCTGTACCGGTCGAACGGGCTTAAGGCCCAGACATCGAAAAGAGCTGCGAACTCATTGTACCGTCTGGTCACGGTCCACGACCTCAGTGCACCAAGACAGAAAAAGTCCAAAGAGGTTCCGAAAGGCTTGTTGTCTGCTGCCCAGAATAGACACGCCTACTGAGCTTGATGTATAAGACAACACTGTGCAAAACACCCACAACCAGCGATCCTCTGAGAAGGGGTTTAGCTGATGCATCTCTGAGCTGAGACTACGACAGCCTTGTTCAACATGCTCACCGTTGGAATGGGAGTAGTCAAGCTTCTGCCCGCAGGCAGCAATCACCGTAAACCAGCCGTTACGATCCTTCCCGAAGAAAAACAAATAAGAAAACCCAAAAAGATGCGGTGGCTACCGGCCCCTTCCTGCTGCCTGCCAAGAGAATTCCGCTTAAGAAGGACTGATTGTCAAAATTCGTGGAGCAGTGTGTCGAGTCCCCAACTGGCCCTCGAAGAAGACTCGAATGATGTAGTCCTTGCGAGTTGTGTGTCCCAACTTGATTGAGGATACAATGCATGCCTCCCCGAGATTGCAGGGGCATCAAACTTGAGCGGCTTCAGCGAACGTCAAAACGTTGCTGTGGGTGGCTTGTAACGGCACACCTTAAAACCCAACTTTTTTCCGTGCGGCGCATCGTGGCCACCACACACCCCTCCGCATCCCCAAACGTGTTTACAATGCAGCTCGGACCCTTGATAAACGGCTCCCCTCCATGTCCGGTTTGAAAGGAGCCGCTGGGGACGGGGGGAGGACTGGCAGTTGGACTTGGATTTTTACACCTTGAAAATCAATTGCCGAGCATTTGCAGCTCCTTCAAAGAAGAAGGACATGCGGAGATTTCGTTGACCGGCAGTTGGTTGTGGCACACGGTGCTTTTGTCCATCAGCAGAGTTTGTTCACAGCTTGTGTTGGGCGTATTTCATGCCGCAAACGCACGGATCAGAATTTGGGCGGCTTTGTATACTTCTTGGCCCTATGTCAGGAATCACGAGGACAGCTGCTGCCTTCAGGCCTGTTCGTGCAAAGACCTTTAAGCAGCTCAGCAACATTGAGGTTTTTGTGTTTGATAATCTCGTTGCATGTTATGATGAGGCAGGAAGTATGAAGCGGTCAGTCGATGTGATTTTGCAGTCCACAGAACCTGACCTACTCCCTGCGCATACCCGGGTAGCCAGAACCCGCCCCAGGACAGCAAGCTGAACACGTTTAGTATGTTTACAGCCAAGAGACATGGACTGCCAAAGACACAACACGGACTGGGTTGCGCACCACATGCTGTCCAGTCTTTACCAGTGAGACCCTTGCCTTCACTGCCTGGCTGCAGACACTTGAAGCGTACTTGACATGGCTTCGTGCAACCTAGCGGTGCTTCCTCCATATCCGGAAGACGACGGCTATTTTGCAGAACCTGCGAACCTAGCGGCCTTGCCCTTCGCGTCTAATGAAGGACTGTCGTATCAGACCTTCCCTGCCAACTAATGTATTGTCCCGCTGCTCATGCCAATGTCAAATGTCAAACGGAAGTCTCTGGCTTCCTGCGAGGCATTTGGACGCACCCTTAAGCAAGCAGGTTGCACATCTAAGCCTTTGCTGAGGACATCGTGTCCACTGCCAGCATCAACAACTTCGAAGCCTCCAGCCAACCATTGCAGCAAACAGTTGCCGGCAGGGGAATCAGTCGCAACTCTCATCTAAGCCTGATTTGGGCACTATCTTGAAAGCCCAAAACCTACATAGCTAGTTTCAAGGCACAGTAGTACCATTGGTGCAATGGCTGGGACAGCTGCTGGCCCTGGTCGATTCTGTGTTGATGGTGTTTCCATGCTTGAAGATATGCATCCCGTTGCTATCTTCGTCCATGCAGCTGACGCCCTATATGTATATACATATATATATATATGACGAACCTATCACCACCGCGGAGGACACTGCCTCGACAGACCCGACATGCAAACTTCACCCGTCAAAGCCCTGAAAGCTTGGCCCCCCCACGCTCGACGGATGCTGAGACTGGTATCTGGCAAACATCCGGGATGGCATGGTACATCGGGCCGGGTCTTAGAACAGGTGACCTGATCTACCCCGACCATGTGGCTTTAGCCGACCCACCCTCTGGCCCTTTGTGATGGAGCTTCTCGGCGGCAAGATTGCCTCCTGTACAGTCATTAGGTGGCTAGACACCATTGTGCTGAGCAGGTGCTTTGGCTTAGACCCAAAGCAATACATGGCAATCAGGCGGCAATCAGGTCTCTCGCGTCCCGAAGCGCTCGAATGCCTGACCCCAAACCATCCAGGCGCTCCCTCTGACCAGGCTGGCCTCCCTCCCTACCTTCTGCACTCTGGCCATCCCTTTCGTAACCCACACCTGGGCTTGAGGTGACGGACTCAGCGAGGTTTAAAGTTGTGGGCCTTCCGATCGAAACTTTGGTTTAGTAAACACCCTTAGCACCAGCAACAGTCAACAAGAAGTTCAGTACACGATGGACATTCATGCAATCTGATGCTGTCATGGCCTTTGCTGAAGTGGAACCTAATTGCTGGATGAACAAATGAAAATCTGGCCAAGGCAGGGTTAAGATGGACGAGGTCTGCCTGACGTCCGCATGGTCTGCACTCTGCACCGGCTGAGAAGCACACCCAGCGGCGGGCTGCGAAAGAGTGCTACTCGACGATCTGCTGAGCCGATCCAGTCACGAAATGATAAGCCGTAGGTGTAGAGAACATACTTGAACAAAGCTGAGACATAACGTAGCCATGTAGCACTAGCAGTCAGCAAGTGCACCCAAATTCGCCTAGCAGCTTGCACATTTAGCATTCAAAGTGCCACTAGTGGAATCCTTGAGAATTTGTCTTAGTCATGCCAACACCTACTGTCGTAGTGCGCCGCATTTCTTCCGAGCAGCTCGGGTGGTGCTTGGTATAAGTGCTGCAAAGTCTCGAATCTGTGATAGCAGCATAGGTGGCATCGATGCAACGATCGCGACTGAAGGAAGCACAAGGCACTAGCATACACATATTATGTAGATAGATATACAAAATGTGTATATGTAATATTTGTGTATTTGCATTAGATGTATATGTCGGTCATGAACAAAGAAGCGCTTGCCAGGCATATTCGGGGCTTTTCGACAGGAGAGCTTACCTTGGCCTAGGAAAGCGTCCAGGACTCCGTGTCCTCCTGTACTTGCGAGGCTAGAAACACGTGACATGCAAGAACATCAAGCGAAAGCATCCGCACGGAGTACCAATCAGCACGAGCTCAGCACAACATCAGCTCTTTAATCTTTCGCATTTCGCATAAAGTAACTTCACCGAATGGCGGCTAAACTCGCCGGGGTCTCCAAATGCGCAGATGAGTTTTTTTGCCACTTTTTGCAAGACCAAAACCTACCACAGCTACCATTTGCCTACGCCTCCACAGGAGAGACGGCTTGGGGAGGCTAAGCGTGTTGAGGCCTATAAGAATAGCGGCTTTGCATGGAAAGTGGTCACGTTTTCTGCCGCTTCCACATGCACAAGTAGGAAACCCAAGCTCTGCGACGGATCACCACGTCCGATTGCGCCTTTGGCGCCAGGGTTGGTTAGCCTGCTAAGTTGGAGCTGGGAAAAGCTGTCTAACATCTACTGCACGTGGGGAAATCTGTTTACCAAGTGGAACGTAGCACTGAGTCTCACGCTACCGGCCAAAGCTCTTCCGTGCTCCAAGTGCATTCATTACCACTGCATTAACTGCGGCCTGTGGCTTCCCATTTCCCCGTGGACCTGAGCACTAGATTTGTGCTATCGAAACAAAGCCTTCGCTCTAAACAAGACTGCCGACTGCTTTGAACAAAAACTGTACGGTGTTCCAATGCTGTGTGTTCAAACATGTTCAGCACTTCCCCAAGCACCGTCAGCTGTTGCTTCCATTGCTTCGTAAGGCTTCCCTGCATTGAACTCACTGTGTGCTGGCGACATTCTCGGTTGTCAAGATAACGTCAGAAAAATATAAATCCTGAATACATAGACATAAACACACACACACACACACACAGAGTGACTGTACGACATGTCACCCAAACCAAGACAAAACAACACTGCGCCGCCAAAAGCTTTCATCCATAGGCTATATCAACAACAATGTGCGATCCACGGCGAAATCTGGTGCCGAAACCACGGTCTTGCCCATCAGGATCCAAAGGCGCCTTGGCGGACATTTCGTGCTCGGAAGATTGCAAGGCGCAAAAACTCGCGATCGCTAGTTCAACTACTTCGACCTGCAGACCTCCGCACATATTCGCACTAACCGATGCATGTCCGCACATGAGGCGTGACATGGCGTGACTCTGCAAATCCCGTACAAAGGGTATCTCAGCAAGGTTTAGAGAACTGCACACTGACGCCCAGCAGATCAGGACTTTCTGCAGCTGCTATTCTCTGAAGGCTTTGACGGCCTGAAAGATAAGCTCGACTCAAGCGTGAAACAGCAGGCCGAGCGCTTTAGTTTACCAAAACGCACGTGGTTGGAGGGAATTGACCCACTACCTTGCACTGACTTCAGCATGCTGCTTCAGCGCATTACAAATGAACGTTTTCGATCGTGCTGGCTCGCTGGCATGCCGCCACTCGCCCACCCACCCCTCCACCTTGCCACAAGTCTCACGCAGCTCATGCTAGGAAAACCCTGACATCCAACATCCTCTAAACTCCTAAACGAAGCAAGTTGATTTTTGCGATTCTACACCGACCTGATGCGACACTGCTTGACCTCAACCCTGGATCCTCAACTCTTAGGCAAGATGTCCATCAATCCTTCCCTAAACCCTGCCAAGCCACTTAGTCGGACGGCTGAGCCACGGAGGGCTTCAGAAACAGTAGATCCAGGGGCCTTTGCCTGGGATTTGAAATGCTGGACAGTTGCCGCTGTTGGGGTTGCCAACTACCAACCAGTCTTGCAGGGGGCATAGTCCCCTGCAATGCTAGCACGCACTCCAAGCCTGAGCATCCTAAACTCTCGACAAATTAAGCCAGAAGATGCCAGAACCTCACACAGGACACCAGTTGTTGCTCAAATCAGGACAGATCTTGATTGCTATGGAGACTATAAAGTTCGGCTGATGCTGACTGTGGCACGCACAAGCTTTCCGCTGCAAGTGAACAACGGCCTGATCTACACAGTATGTGTGCAGTATGTAGATGGCCTTGCTGCTTATCTTCATGGCGCGACGAAAAGTTGATATCGTCACACGAAACTCAGTGTCCACCAAGCTCACGACGCGAAGACAAGACAAGACAAAAAAAGATGAGAACTGTGTCTGAACTGTGTCTGAGTAATATGCTCAAATTCCCGAAACTGGCTACTAACAAGGAGCGCGGGAAGACATGTCTCTCCGTGACTGTCGGCTGTTTCCGGGGCGCTCTCAGTCAGGTCATGGTGATGGCCAGAGGCGGACGAAGAAAGAATGCTTGGGGCCATGTGCTCAGGATGCGCAAGGGCCTAGGGCCTAGGGATTGAGCAGGAGTCAAAAAAACCCTTGCCGCATAGGGGCTGAACCGGCCAACCGGTGAAGCCAACACTTCATCCCAGCGTTCAAGAAACAGTGAAGCCGATTTCGGCTTTGCAAAACAAGCTGCCGCATCGTCTCGAAGAAGTCTTCTGCCTCCGATTGTTCCGACTCCCAATACATCGAACACCAACTTACTTTGCATGAACAGCAACGCCTGCATTTGCGCAATCGGAAGTATATCAATGAGATTAGCTTCTGCTTTGCGCACCACAACCAGCTTTCCAGCCTCGATCTGCCCTGTGTGGATGCCATTGACGCACAGCAATCGGCTTCCCTGCAGCTCCAGCGGCTGCGACACATGGCAAAACGATGATGAACGCAAGGCTTTCTCCAGAGTTTCTTCATGTTGCAAACCTGTGGTGGTAAGTTCGTTCTCCAGTCTCTCACACCCAAGCTCCAAGCTCGACAAGCCAGTTTGGTTTCAAGCTTCACAATCCTGCCAAACCCATGCGGGCCTTTGGTAGATGCAGGGCTTCAGCTGGTGTTCCAGCCGAGATTCTCTCCACGACCAGATGCCTTGGCTTGGTCGCAATGAGCAAAGTTTCCAATGCCGATGTGCCGCAGCACGGACATCTAGCACAACAGGAAAACCATCTCTTGCTTCGTGCTAGGATATGGTCTTCCATTGTGTCGGCTCCAACTTCGGCGAATACAGAAAGACTACGGGGTTAAGACCAAGTGTGAGCCCATGCTACCGAACGCCGGCTAGTCCGCAGCGAACCGTTTAATACCAGTTGTCCTTCCTTCCTTCCTTCCTCCCTCCCTTCCTTCCTTCCTTCCACCCAAGAAAAACCAAGGTGGCAGGGAATCACTACCGTCTCATCCCTCCTCCCAGCCTTCTTTTGCACCTATAGATTAAGACAAGCTTGCCATCTTCATCGGACCCCGGATCTGTTCGCGTCTGGAAGGGTCACCTACCAAAACCAAGTCACGATTTGTGTTGTTGAAGAGTTCGCGTGGCGCCTTTACAATCCTTTGCCGGGACCCCGTACCCCGCGGAGCCTGCCCAAGGAGTGGCCCTGGTAAGAACAAACAACGCCAGACCGTGTCCGCTAAACAGTGCCCAGATCGGATCGGCTTCGACTGTTCGTGTTCGTTGCGGGGAGGGGGCGAATTAGGGGGGGGGGGGAGAGGGGGCTTGGGTGGGGGCTGCGAACAGATCCAAGAACTCTCCTCCTCTCAGTACGTCTCTGAGCCTGCAGGCATTTCGGGCAGCCTGAAACAACTCTCAACCCGCTCCAAACTTCAATCTTAGCAAACAAATGATCTGCCCGGCGGCCCAGCAGGAGGCAAGATCTTGAAGGCGATGCCTTCCCCACGGCAAAGGACAAAGCACAAGATCAGCTCAGAAGGACCCAGTAACCAAACCTACCGTGCCATACTTGATGCACCCAAGACTTCATTAGCTGCTGCAGAATCACCAGCAAAGCATACATACATCTTGCAAGAATACGCCCCTGGTGCTTAGAAAGGCATTTCTCTGAGCCATACCAAGGTCGCACAAAAATGAAAGGTCCCCTTTCCAATCTCGAGACACTGTGAAGGTGGTACACGCCATGCAGGTTCTGAAGGGATTGAACGGTGGTGCAAAACTGGGGCACAAACGTATAACCCCGCCACTTGGCAGCATCTAAGTACAACACGTCCGAATCAACAGTGATTCTTTTGCAAGTTCGTAGACGCTGCAGTTTAGACACCCTCTGTCCTGTTCCTGGGTACACAACATACAACCCAGCAAACAAACACCTGCAGATAAGGAACCAAGGGGCTGGAAGGGTAAAGGGCATCCGAAATTTCCCCCCAAATATCAAATGCTGGCTTCGTAAGCCCAAACAAGGACATCTGGAGCCCCGGCCGATCTTCTCCTCGTCCCGGCCGACTCGGAACTCCACCACTCCCATCTCCTCGCTGTAGCCGGCAGCCTGCAGTCATAGGCCACATATCATGGTGCTCAAAGACGGTCGCTTCAATTTCTCAAAAAAATGTCGGACTCATAGCCCTGGGTTCCCCAGGATGGTCTGTTGGTCAATGGAATAGTTGGTTTTTGTGGGCGATGGTCCTTGACCAGGGTCCGAGCGATGCTGATGGAGGCAAAACAACTGCACCCACAATGCTCCCGTAAACTTCACAAGCAAGACGGCAATGTTGTTGCAAATGTGCCTGCAAGCAAGTCGCCAGTGCAATCCGCCTACAACTGGCAGGCCTTCGCCTGCTGCAGCAGATGGGTAGGCAAGGCCTCGGCAGTCAGGTTTCTTGGCGGTGCAGTTCGATTGCGATGCCGCATTTGGTACCATGGCAGTCCCGTGGATCGATAGAGAAGAGAACAGCTCTTCATTCTGACAAGCAGCCACAGGTCGAATGACGCTGCCTCGTTTCTGTCGAGGCATCCCCCAATTTGCAGGCATGGGAACGTCCTGGCTCCAAGTCACCTACTCACGTGGATACTAGCATCGGTGATACCGTCTCATAGAAAGGACCGTGCTAGCTGCGAAGTTAGATAAACTTCTGATTACTTACTTCGTGAAACGAAGCAGGCCTCATCCGAGCTGGATCCGTCGGATTCGACGCCTTTCCTTGGAAGTTCGTACAGGGGCTTTCAGAACGGCCAAGCAAAGAGAAGGATGCTGCACTGGAGAAGCTTTAGCAAATCAGGCCGATATGCTCGAACAGGAGAAGGGCTTGCTAGTGTGCTTGACGTGTTTGACGTTTCGTGTGAAGCTTTGACGCTCACAGCACTTTCTGCCGAGCCCGAGTTGCGGAGGCCCCCTTGCCGAATCTTGGAAGTCTGACTTGTGCGCAACCTGCACAAGGGCAGCAGGAAGAGCGGCAAGCGAATGAGCGGATGGTAGGCCTTTTGATTTGACCCCACGACATTCTAGATCTGGCAAAATGGGCTGTGAGAGATGCGCGAGCAGCCAGCCAGTTAGGTCAAGTTGTGGCCTGACTTCCACAAATTTGAACCTTTATCTTTCTGTTTCCAAGCCCTCTCAGCAACCTCGAATTCATGGTGTGCACCTCATGCATTGTGACAGCAAGGGGCGCAGCTTAATCTGAAAAACTTGCCTACACAACACGTACATAAGAGCCTACGTGCCCATTAAAGTCAAACAACTTGCAGCAAGGGTGTCACCCGGCAACCCCCCCCCCCCCCCCCCCAAAACGCAAACAGGCAGAGTCCTGGCCCAGTCCAATCACCTGGGTGTGCTTTATGACCTCTTGAAAATCCCGGGGGGGGGGGGGGGACAGCAAGATCCGTCAGGGTCAGCTCGGTGGCCGTTAGCTATTTCACGTAATGTTCGGGTGTACGCGGCGGGACTGGCCAAGAGGCGACAAGTTGAGGAAAAGAAGCTATGGCACAATCACAACTTGTCCCGCCTCTAGCAGCTTGCCAGAATCGTGCGCGGCCCCCTGCTCGTCCGACCTCGAGATCCCATGGAGTGTCGGAATTCTTTCACAGCACATCACGATGGAGACGCGTGGCAAGCGTCAGCTTTCGATAAGTGACATTCATAGAGTTTGTGATAGTTAGCAGCTAGCAAATCAACCGAAATACGTCACAAACATCCACAGATCATATCTGCCCAGTTCTGGCCCAAGTTTCCCTTGTGCGAAGCCGATGCCACTGACATCTTCAGCTGTCGGGTCTGAGCCCGAGCCGCCTTGCAGAAGCAATGTCTCGGCTGTCTCGGGGCAAGCGGAAGGCAGCGGATCCTGGTCAGCGGGCGCATCCTCATTTCCACGCAAGGACGGGAGCTCCAAAGCGGCCACTGCCAACATTTCCGGGACAGGGCTTGACTTGCCGGATGCCTGTTCAGTGCTTCCTGGCTCGATGGAGAAACCTCTGGACGCGTTCTGGCCCGCCTCCTCGGCAGTCTGCGCGCGAGGTGTGTCCGAAGTTGTGCTCGTGGCACCATCTTTCTCCTCTGCACCTTCCCAAGCCGTCGAACTGACTGCAGCAGCACCTGGTTCGTCCTCAACCCATGTCGATGGAGTCTCGCTCAGAGGCTGGCCACCATCGACGTTCCGAGCGCAAGCTTCTTCGGCATCCTCCTCGTGTCCACCGCATGCCTGGAACAGAAAGGAAGCCGCCTACTAAATTATAGGATCGTAAGTAAGATACGCTGTCGGCACGCTCTCCAACCCGTGCTCTGTTTCCGGCTCCTAATTTGCATTTCGCATATTCCTGATGAATCGCCAAAGCAGCCTGTAGTGTCTCGTTCGCTGTCTGGGTGTGCTGCACTGTATACACAAAGCACGCCCGTTAGAGAGGTAAGACTTTACTTCTTAAAACCAAGTTGTAGCAGAAAAGCAGGAAAGCGGATGGTTGCGGTTGCTGGCTTGCGTGCTCCCGCCTCTAGCAGCTTGCCAGAATCGTGCGCGGCCCCCTGCTCGTCCGACCTCGAGATCCCATGGAGTGTCGTGATTTTTTCCACAGCACGTCTCACAATGGAGACGTGCGGCAAGCGTCAGCTTTCGGTAAGTGACACATGCATAGAGTTTATGATAGCTAGCAGCTAGCAAATCAACCGAAATGCGTCACAAACATCCACAAATCATGTCTACCCAGTTCTGGCCCAAGTTTCCCTTGTGCAAAGCCGATGCCACTGACACATTCGGCGTGCAGAAGCAATGTCTTGGCTGTCTCGGGGCAAGCGGAAGGCAGCGGATCCTGGTCAGCGGGCGCATCCTCATTTCCACGCAAGGACGGGAGCTCCAAAGCGGCCACTGCCAACATTTCCGGGACAGGGCTTGACTTGCCGGATGCCTGTTCAGTGCTTCCTGGCTCGATGGAGAAACCTCTGGACGCGTTCTGGCCCGGCTCCTCGGCAGTCTGCGCGCGAGGTGTGTCCGAAGCTGTGCTCGTGGCACCATCTTTCTCCTCTGCACCTTCCCAAGCCGTCGAACTGACTGCAGCAGCACCTGGTTCGTCCTCAACCCATGTCGATGGAGTCTCGCTCAGAGGCTGGCCACCATCGACGTTCCGAGCGCAAGCTTCTTCGGCATCCTCCTCGTGTCCACCGCATGCCTGGAACAGAAAGGAAGCCGCCTACTAAATTATAGGATCGTAAGTAAGATACGCTGTCGGCACGCTCTCCAACCCGTGCTCTGTTTCCGGCTCCTAATTTCGCATATTCCTGATGAATCGCCAAAGCAGCCTGTAGTGTCTCGATCGCTGTCTGGGTGTGCTGCACTGTATACACAAAGCACGCCCGTTAGAGAGGTAAGATTTTACTTGCTTAAAACCCAGTTGTAGCAGAAAAGCAGGAAAGCAGATGGTTGCGGTTGCTGGCTTGCGTGCTCCCGCCTCTAGCAGCTTGCCAGAATCGTGCGCGGCCCCCTGCTCGTGCGACCTCGAGATCCCATGGAGTGTCGTGATTTTTTCCACAGCACGTCTCACAATGGAGACGCGCGGCAAGCGTCAGCTTTCGGTAAGTGACACATGCATAGAGTTTATGATAGCTAGCAGCTAGCAAATCAACCGAAATGCGTCACAAACATCCACAAATCATATCTACCCAGTTCTGGCCCAAGTTTCCCTTGTGCAAAGCCGATGCCACTGACACATTCGGCGTGCAGAAGCAATGTCTTGGCTGTCTCGGGGCAAGCGGAAGGCAGCGGATCCTGGTCAGCGGGCGCATCCTCATTTCCACGCAAGGACGGGAGCTCCAAAGCGGCCACTGCCAACATTTCCGGGACAGGGCTTGACTTGCCGGATGCCTGTTCAGTGCTTCCTGGCTCGATGGAGAAACCTCTGGACGCGTTCTGGCCCGGCTCCTCGGCAGTCTGCGCGCGAGGTGTGTCCGAAGCTGTGCTCGTGGCACCATCTTTCTCCTCTGCACCTTCCCAAGCCGTCGAACTGACTGCAGCAGCACCTGGTTCGTCCTCAACCCATGTCGATGGAGTCTCGCTCAGAGGCTGGCCACCATCGACGTTCCGAGCGCAAGCTTCTTCGGCATCCTCCTCGTGTCCACCGCATGCCTGGAACAGAAAGGAAGCCGCCTACTAAATTATAGGATCGTAAGTAAGATACGCTGTCGGCACGCTCTCCAACCCGTGCTCTGTTTCCGGCTCCTAATTTCGCATATTCCTGATGAATCGCCAAAGCAGCCTGTAGTGTCTCGATCGCTGTCTGGGTGTGCTGCACTGTATACACAAAGCACGCCCGTTAGAGAGGTAAGATTTTACTTGCTTAAAACCCAGTTGTAGCAGAAAAGCAGGAAAGCGGATGGTTGCGGTTGCTGGCTTGCGTGCTCCCGCCTCTAGCAGCTTGCCAGAATCGTGCGCGGCCCCCTGCTCGTGCGACCTCGAGATCCCATGGAGTGTCGTGATTTTTTCCACAGCACGTCTCACAATGGAGACGCGCGGCAAGCGTCAGCTTTCGGTAAGTGACACATGCATAGAGTTTATGATAGCTAGCAGCTAGCAAATCAACCGAAATGTGTCACAAACATCCACAAATCATATCTACCCAGTTCTGGCCCAAGTTTCCCTTGTGCAAAGCCGACGCCACTGACATCTTCAGCTGTCGGGTCTGGGCCCGAGCCGCCGTGCAGAAACAATGTCTCGGCTGTCTCGGGGCAAGCGGAAGGCAGCGGATCCTGGTCAGCGGGCGCATCCTCATTTCCACGCAAGGACGGGAGCTCCAAAGCGGCCACTGCCAACATTTCCGGGACAGGGCTTGACTTGCCGGATGCCTGTTCAGTGCTTCCTGGCTCGATGGAGAAACCTCTGGACGCGTTCTGGCCCGGCTCCTCGGCAGTCTGCGCGCGAGGTGTGTCCGAAGTTGTGCTCGTGGCACCATCTTTCTCCTCTGCACCTTCCAAGGCCGTCCATGTCGATGGGGTCTCGCTCAGAGGCTGGCCACCATCGACGGTCCGAGCGCAAGCTTTTTCGGCATCCTCCTCGTGTCCACCACATGCCTGGAACAGAACGGAAGCATTTCCACTCCCATGCAATATAGGCCCATCTGCCAGCAACAGCTCCCAAAACAAAACAGCCACACAAGCTCTGAAACAGCTCGCACATGCGCATTGTCAATCCTTGCCCGGCTCATGCTTGCATCACTCTGCCTCCGAACCTGGTTCAACTCTGGGTCTAGTCCTGAGACCAACAAGCCGTGCTGTTGCAGCTGCCTTGCGAGCAATGTCTGGCCGTGGTTCTGCACAAGGGCCTGTCGGATCTTCCAGAACCTCGGCTGCACAATTTTGCTGGGTGTTGAGGACTCTTGCAGACCCTGGCGTGCTAGTGCACGACTACTGCAAGCGCTACCAAAATCATTAACGCGGCTTTCAAGAACTATCGGGACGTCGGTCGCCTTTTGGGCAGCCATCTTGAGCGTCATGCCAGGCCCTAGATGGGTGTGGCTGAAACCGCGGCGATTGCACCGAACTGGAACACTGCCAGAACATGCCAGAACCGTGTACCGAGAATCCGAAAGCATGAAGAAAGCCTCTGCTTGCAGATGCGAGGCTGAGATGCATCTGTACGGGTCCAAGGTGGCCCCGTGGCCTTTCACCAGAGACCGCAAAGGCGGCAAATTGACGTTGATTCGGGCACTGCGAGTTTTGACTTGCAGCCTCACGGGTTCTGGTCGAATCCGAGAAAGCTATCTGCGTCCGTACATTTCAAGTCGTGGAGTTGCCTTGCTTGATTGAGTGACCCAGCCCCACTGGCTCCACTGTATTGACTCTTCCGGGCTAACAAAATATGAACATTTCCGATGCCTGTGTCCTCCTTCGGGTCACCATCAAGCATCGGATCCTGCCGGACTTCAGGCCCCGGGAGTTGAACAAATCTGATCATTTGATGCAGCTCGGCTTGAAGAATGACGTTGGCTAGCATCTTGCTGGTGCACAGTACGTTGTTTGCCAAGCATCTGCTGCCCAGGCCTTTCCGAAACATCCGAAACCGAACAAGTCAAGCATTCGCAACTGCTCGATTCGAGTTCGCTCCGCAACCAAGTGCAAGCCAAGCCGTTCTTCCGCCTCGACCACCTGATCATGCCCAACCCAGTGCAACTCTTAGTGCGAATGCCAGAAAGTCAAACCTGAACATGTGCGGCAAGTTTCCGTTGGGGCTTGTCGTCTGGATTAAAGAATCGGAATTATTTGTGCCTGCTTGGCACTTTTTTGTCCCAGGGCTAGTTTCTCAAGCATGTCCCAGACAAATTCAGAGCCTTTGCATAACAGCGAGCGTGTTCCCAGCGGTAGATACGAAATCCCAAAAGAATCAAGCCCTCAACTGAGGCCCGCAACGGGCTTATTCAAGAACACCATCGAACACGTGTTTCATTTTGAGCCCAGTCTAAACATGTGCTTGTCCAACGTGCATGCACATGTGTGCGTGTCGCGCACTTGGAACTACCTGCTGGACTGCACCTCTGTTGCACCGCGAGGGGAGCGTACTGCAGTTCCGTCAGGATTTCCTGATCACGGACGTAAAGATGGGAGCTTGGTGCTCGGAATGCGCACATCTTCCCAACACACTCTCCCTGCCGGCACAGTCTTTGGAAGTTCAGCCAAGACAACCAAGGGCTCTGTGGTTGGATGGGCTTCTCACCCAGACACCCAGACACCCTAAGCACGTCAGTCGCTCAGCGGCCCACGCGAACCCGCATAGTTAGTCTGTGCTTTCAATTGCCGCAATGAGCTGCTGAATGCTTCAACTCTACGACTGAGAAGCTGTCATGGGCATTTGAAAGACAAAGCAACAAATCCTGTGCTCCCAAGATTAACAGTTCACCCTGACCCCTCTGCCCGAGGCACCTTCTTGGGAGGTGCCGCCCCAAGTCAGATTGCGGAAGAGGTTCCCCGACTCCCAGTGATCTCGGAGAGCCTTCGTCGGAGTACAAAGAAAGTTTAGTCCAAATGTGGCGTGGAGCCCCGTGCTCGGTGCGGAAACACAAGTGGCAAACAATTGTCTGGTACCGCCTGCCGACTGAAACACCACCGCCCTAGTTAAGAACTCATGAAAGGTTTAGGGTTGACGGCAGTTGGAGATCTTAGTTCTTCGTTCAGGACTGTGAGGCCGCTGTGTCTGGCTCGTCTTCTGCAATGAGCCCCGCAAGGTTTCGGGGCCGTTGGCTCTCGTGTTTTCACAGCATGACAGCATCAGTCCGAAGCGGCCTGCCAGCCTTCGCTGAACGAGGAAACCGCTGGCCCGTCACCTGCTGGCCCAGGAGGGCAGTCCAGGAATCAGCAAGTGGCAACACCGGAACATCTGGTAAACTCGCGTAGGTCTTCTCCCATATGTGTGTGTGTTAAAGAACGCAAAAAACGAGCGAGTTTCGGCAGAGCCATTGGGCAGCCAAACAAAATACGCCTCACAGTACGGATGCCCAAGACTCAACTTTCTGCACGACCAGCTTTTCGAGAGAACCGGCACTGTGAGCTAACCCAGTTCCTTCAAACTCATTGAGTTACGGCAAGGTGGTTGAAAGGCCATTGGCGCTGCTGCACCGATGTCTGGGCGCATGCGAGATCATACCGCTGCGAAATCAACTCCTGCTGGTGAAGGGCCAACCGTCAAGTCACCACGAAGTGAGGGAGCAGAATCCGAACGTGCACGAAGTGGTGCTGTCTCGCCTTTGTGCACACAGCATGAAAAATTGGCATGCGGCCACAACCTCGGCATGTTGCAACAAGCTGCAGTTGCAATGCACACCTGAGGTCTAAACTGTTTGTTCTCGTGGTGGCTTCTGCGGCGGCCTCCGTCGGGAACCCGAACCACGAAGACCTGAACAACCGAACAAAGTGCAGCAGCGAGGACTCATGGGAGTTTAGGACTCTCTGACTGCCGCATACTGCAATCTCGCAGCCATTGAAACCAAAATGACTTGCCTGGACTGCGATGGGCTTCCGGTCTTGCTCAGCGGAGAAAACTCGCCGCGCAAGTGCTTGGCTTGGAACCTTCCGCAACTGACCGTGAGTTGAAGTTGATCTACGTGTCTAGTCAGAGTCTAGTCATGTACAACGGTTGCCCCAAAACACCAAATGGTCCATGGTTTGCCAATGTTTGCCAGCACCTTCCAAAAAGTTGAGGGTATCAACGTTCAAATTCTGCGGCACAGCGGCCGGCTTTGCCGTTCACGCAGCCGCATGAACTCCTTTCTCTGGGCCTGCAGCTGAGCACGTCGTACTGTTCATAAGCAATGACAGGTTCTGCTTCAGTGTACCCATGACCCCCCTCCGACTCCTCGGAAAGCCGCCGTCCGACTCCGCAGTCCTGACTGACTAAATCAAATACCCCGGAATCGTAACCCGGAGCCAGCCCGCATGTCGAAAACAGCCCTATGCATCCCCATGCGTCAGACTTTGCGGGCATACAGCGCATTCCAGTCAACAACTTGAAACCCGGTCCGAAGGAAACTCTTAGCTCTTTCTGTGTCATTATGGCCCGCCATCAATCGGGGAGATGCGAGCTGGTCGAGAGCATTGACATGAATTGACCCTGTAAATGTAAAGGTTTGTGATAGCTGCGAATGTTTCTTGCTCAGCGCATTGTAGATCCTTCTTCAGCACTGCTTCCACCGACTTCACGGCATTCATGCAGGATGAGATGCGGTCATCGGCACAATTTCCTGACAAAGAAGCGGTTTGAATTTTAACTAGTCCAGGAGCGTTCGGCACGCACCACACGAGTCTCATTCGTTGGCACCAAGCATCTATGCGAAAGCGTTGCGCCATCCAGAATTGCACGGACTCGTGCAACTCTGCTGCAGTCGCCTCGCATGTTCAACTATGATGTGACATGCTCAAACCTGTGTTGAACATGAATCGCGAGAGCTGTTTTTTGCTTGCATGCCAGAGCCTCCGAAGATTTCTGCCAAACGTTGCCGCCCAGGGTCCGGCTCGGTCAGGACGCCGAGCATGAAATCCTTCGAGGATCATGCGGGGCCAATACATAATGCCATGCTTGCGAAACATAGGGTCTGAGAAAAATGTGCAAACATCCCACGGGAAAGGGATGCGAAAGGCCCGCGAAAAGGCTGCCGCCTGTAACCACGGGGTGTGGAGTATACAGCTTAAGGGTCGAGGTGGGGTTGTGTGTGGGTTTGGTGTGTTGCTTGTAGTTGGCAGGGCAGATTCTGCCAACCCGTCAATCCCAGCTAACGACGAACCGGACCCTGAACCCTACGTAGAATATCACACAAGCAAAAGAAGAATGGAAAGGATCTCGAAAGGGCTCAGTGGCCTCGGAAGTGTTGTTTAGGCTGGCACGAAGAAACGAACTGATTTTTAAGCTGGACCACGACTTCTGCGGGGTTAATTAGGTTTGATCAGGTTTTACGCGAAGAACCGAACAGCTTCCCAGAGGGGCCATTTCCATGAAGTAATGCATTCGTGTGGGCTCTAGGGGCTCTAGGGTTTGTGAGGCACGCGAAGGGGAATGAAAGGTGTGCGCATTGAGCGGGGACAGGGGGTTTTCGTAAGAAGGCATATTGGACAGCTCCCTTCCGAGATCTTCCGAGGTAACCATTGCAAACATGACAACGAGAAACACAGCTGTCCCTCGCGCACTCCAAGCTCACCAAGAGATTGTGCTCCGGATTGGCAAGCCTCGGCACAGCGTGCGCAAGAAGCCGATTTGGTGGTCGGGCACGCTTTCGATCAGACTTGATTGTTTTACAATTGTCCACCGTTCTTGGGGTGAAGGCTTCACTGTGCTGCCCCGAGCAGTGTTCACTTGTCGCCACGCCACCTGCCAGCTTGCAGGATTGCATGTGTCGCGTGACATGGAACACAGCTAGTCAACCCTCCTTTGACACCAGATAGATGGACAGCGACCCGTGCATGGAACACCTCCATCATTTGCAAGATGTGGTCCATGCCATCGGCAGTCCTGCCAGGAGAGAAAGAGCCCAACAAGAAACTTTATGCAAGGAGACAGCTCACTCCAAGCTTAGCATGGCCTGGGTGGATTGTCCAAACCAGCATCTCGTGGTATGAACAGGCTCAATCTGGGAGCCCTGGGCTGGCATGAGCCACGCCCGAGGCTCCCAAGACCTTGCGAGAGGGATCTTAAGCGTTTATCGGAAAAGTTTTCTCATGCGAAGAGTTGGCAACTAGTGACAGTAATTAAAGGCCGCGACTGTTGGAACGGGTGCCGCATCTGTTCTTGGCAACAACGTCGCTGTGCCACATTGCCGGCACACTACATGGCAATGCCCAAAGGCTTGGGGCGAACGCCCCGACAAGCGGGCTAGCCACCCATGGTCATTTTGACCCACGCTCGAACCCAGAATGTTCACATCCCACACCCAACGCAACTATGCAGTTCACGCTGCAACTGCAACCGTGCTGTTGGTAAACAAGCAAAAAACAAAGAGGCACCAGGCAGGCAGTGCTACATAGTGCTACGGTACCACAGTCAGCATACAGTACGACAGCACTTTTCTATAGTACTACAGCTGCTACACTGCCGTACTACCATTTCATTTCCAGTGCTACGAAGCCTACTCCTAAGGAGTCCCAAAAGCTTCGGAGGCTTTCAGGCGACAAATTTTCGAGGCCAAAAAAGAATTATTCGGAGACCCCCTTTGGATAAACTTCCGCCCCCCTTGAGAGCAAGGAATTTGATGGCAGAAATGACCCCCTAATTTGTCAAATTCTGACGGCCGCCAAGGGAGGTTTCAAGCATAACCTGGACCCTGTCTCTGCTCCTTCAACAGTCGGCCCCGCGCATAAGCTTTCCTGGGGCACCGGAAACGCGTTTTCGAAAGCCCATGGAGTGAAGTCTAGTCGAGCCTGCGTTTCTGCCGTCTCTGGTCTGATCCAACCGACCCACTTTGCAAAGCGACCACTGGCTAAACAAAACTTCTCATGTGCGTCTTTTAACTCAACCGGAACACGCCGTCAGATGAAAGTGGATGCAACATTGATGCAACATCTCATGACGCGAGGCTGCACCCCAACATGCCCGCCGTCTGCTCGCGTACTGGATCTAGGGGTTGGCACCCATGAAAAAGAGCCCTCACGACGTCTCCCAGTTGTAATCCGAAACACACTTATAACTTATAACATCCTAAAGATGCGCACAACACATTTTGTAAGGGGCCGCACTTCCCAACTTTCGTTTGCCGGGTCAGCTGGAGCGCTTTCAGGTCTTCCAAACTTTGGACCTGCTTTGACGTATGAATCCTGGAGATTTTGTTTCTTCAGTGTTACGCTTGAGCATATGTCATGGCGTTGGGCACGCTATATCTGTACCACGCTGCTATGACCGCTGCCGACAATCCACCACCCTCGAGTGCAATGAACACTTGGGCGTTGACGCCTTCAAAATATTCTGCCAAGCGCGTATTTTCGAAAACGATGCTTAGCGCCCTCTCGCCCAACATCGTCTCATAACAAGTGTCAAAAGCTTTTTCCCAACAAATGCCCACCAACATGCCTTTTGGCCACATCCTTTGATTCCCGCGAGTTCCAAGGCTCTTCAATACTGCTCTCTGCATCAGAGTTTTGTTCGGACGTGAAGCAGCGAAGCTTGGGCCACTCGAGCGTGCTGCGGCCTTCACTGGAATAACAAGTATATTCTGCCGCGAGGTCCGCCAAGGGGACGGCTGCGAGCAGGGGGACCCCCTGGCGGCGGAAAAAGGCGTGTGAAAACAAGGAAGCTTGGGCTTTGGTCAACACGACCATCTCCATATTTTGTGCCGCCGGCATCGACTTTGCTGTTTATCGGTTGCTCAGAATGCTTCTGCCAGAGGAGCAGTGGGAGTCTGCAGAGCGGAGCGGGTGGTTCCTGATCTCTGTGTTGGCGCTCGCCTGTTTCGTGCCAGTGCTCCTGTATTGCCGACTTCTGCAAATCGATGGAGATGAGCATCAACGATTGTTTGCCTGGGGCACTATGGGGGGACACATTTGTGCCTTCCTTGCCATCTTGTCCTTCGGCCTTTTGCAGAAGGTGTGCGGGGGAAAAAAAATCCCAGTGTTGTCGGATACTCGTAGGATGTCCCAGCTCTGGGTGTGGGTGCTGCCTGTGCTTGCCTTCGTCGCCTTCCTACTGCTGATGCACGGCGGAGCATACCGCGTGCGGAGAGGCGGTTCATGCCAATTACGCACTGCGAGTTTGGAGGTCACACAAGTGCCTGTGTCCCAGTGCTTTTCACCCGCCATTTAATGATATCTTTTTATGCCTTGTTGCGGGAAAATGCCATACAGTAAGCTGGGCAAAGCTGGAATTTCGAATCTTGCAAGTGGTACGAGCTTGGTCTGTGAGGAGGCATCCAGAACAAGCAGACCAGGAAAACCAAAGAAAACTGAAACCCTCCTGCAAATGCCGGAAGAGCTACATTGAGCTCAGGCCCGGACCCCAACTGCATCTGAGGACTTTGCAGGAACAAACAAACAAACATGTCCGAGCCAGACATGAGTGCATATAGGGAAGCACCCCATGTATGGAAGATGCCCTTCTGAGAGCAGGAATGCGAGGATGCTTTGCCTCATGGGGCCTCAGAACGAGCTCACTTCCCGTGCGGTAGCAGTGACGTCCCCTCGGAACCGCGGGCGGAAGACGCGGCTGAGCCCATCCACCGCCCCGTCCCCCTACGGCGGGTCCTCCCGATCGCTGCTGCTGCATAGGATCTCAGGACTCAGGACCATCCAGGCCTACATCCCACCTAGGTATCCCCGAGCGCAGTCGTAGCGAGCCGCCGCCTCAGAGCAGCCTTTGCCCGGTGGGACCGAGCCGCCACACACAGTTCCTGCAACAAGAGGGAATGTAGCAAACTTGGCATCTCCCCAGTGCGGGCTGCTACAGCGCGAGCGACGTGCTTGATGACGACGGCAGCCCCAGCATCCCAATTGCCCGTCGTTTCTGCCACCATGGGCACGAAGGTGACCCCCTGAGCCTCACACGTTCGTGCAGTGCTCTGGTGGTCCTCCTTGTGTCGGGCATACGCGGCCGCTGCTGCTCCAGCCTCCTGACCCGCCAAAGCCAAGGTCTCTTGCCGCTGGGGCGCCGTGATGGCGAAGTCAAGCGCGGCAGGGGACCCGGCTAAGGAAGGCACGTAAATGTCAGCTGGTCGCCGACGAGCCAAGTGGGTGTCATCCGGAGACTGGGGCAGGAGCAACCCCGGGCGCTCCTTTTCGGGACGGAAGCCCGCCCGGTCCAACCAGGTGTAGAGGACATCCCGGACAGAGTTGTGGCGCAGAGTGCGCTCTCCACCAGCAACACAAGTCGCAGCGTGGTGGCTATGTCGGTCCAGCACACCATCACAAAGGGGGCACCAGCAGTCCTCCGCAGCATCGGGCACCCCCAAACGAAAGCGCAACTCAGCGCAGAAAACTGCTGGTTCGAGCCGTGTCCGACCGGAGGGCGTAGCTGCCAGGAAGGCCCTGGCCCCGAGGCCAGCTTCCGAGCGGAGCACCGCCCTTTCCACCAAGGAGGCTTGCGCCAGCTGCGCTTCCCAGCCGGCCAGGTCCACACGCTCCGAAAGCGCACGCTGTTTGGCCGCCAAGGCTTCGCACAGGGACAGGCTGAGTCTTGGGGCAGCTCCCGATTCAGCGCCCGCAGTGCGGCGGCCACAGCAGGCGACCCGTGAACGGCCTGGGCAGAAAAAGCACGATCAATGTCAGCACAATCGGCCAAGCTTGCTCCAAGCGACGCCAAGTAGGCAGCTGGGGCATGCACCAAGCTAGCGCGCAAGCCCAAGCCCGCCTGCCCAACCCCCCGTGCAGCCTGTCGCCACTGCCCAGCAGTAAGGTGAAGGCCGGTCAAATCACCGAAGCACCGTTGCACGTGGCCATCGAAAGTGGCCAGGGCAGCGGCCTGGGCACACGGAGGGTTGCAGCGCATGCTATGGACCACGCGAGCGAACCCTGCACATGCTCGGAGGAGTCGGAGGCCGACTTGCGGGTCCTCCAGCTCCGCCACAGCATCCAGCAGCTCGCCAGCCTTGGCTGCCCGCGCCGCAGTGTGGGCGCAAATGTAGCTGTCCTCCCCAATTGCTGCACCCAGAAACTCGAAGTTATTGACGAGGACACGGCTGGACCCATCGGGCCGTTGCAGCAGGTTGGCAGGGAAGTGCGGCCGAAGGAGCTGCGTGTTTGGGGCACCAAAAACCACCAACTCGCACTTGTCAAGGTTGAGCTCCAGGCCAATGGCTCTAGAACGCGTTTGGGCAAGCCGGAGCGCAGCCCCTAAGGGGGCAAAGTCGCCAGCGAGCACCCCGTCATCCAGAAAGTGCACCGCAAGGTCCAGAGAATCCGACCGCAGCTCCGCAGCCAGCGGTTGCAAGGCCAAGGAAAACAACAAGGGTCCCAAGGGATCTCCCTGCTGCACACCAGCTGACGACTCCAAGGCGCGGTCACCGAATTGCAGGCAGCTCGGCTGACGGTAGCACCAAGCAGCCCAGCGGGCCAGGGCCGGGAAGTGGACGACAGTCTGCTTAAGCACTTCCTCTCTGCTCACACAGTTGAAGGCATTGCGGAAGTCAAGCTTCAGGAGAGCTTTATGCGACGAGCCAGAATGCCTGGCACTCCACGCACGTACGGCGTGCACAGCTTTTTCAGCACCTCCTTTGACAGCCACGCCTACCTGAGCAGGCCAAAAGAAAGCACGTGCCTCATCCTTGACCACTGCCATTAAGCACTTGCCCGTGAGGCGGCGGAGCAGCTCGCCAACCGCAATTGGCCTCACGCCACCAGCTGGTTTAGGCAATGCCACAAGCCCTGCGCCAGCCAGCACAGGAGCTATAGTTGCAGGGGCCCGCCCCTGGGCCATGAGGTTGACCACATCGGCGAGTTGAGCCATGAAGCTGTCACCCCCACCCGCAACACAAGCATCCCGCAGGTGCTGCACGCGAAGTCCTGTTGGGCCTGGGGCGGTCTCAACTGGAAAAGCTCGCAAGCAGCGGGCAACCAACTCCGGGGCCAAAGCAGGAGGGACTGGCAAGTCACCCATGGCCGGTGTGGAAGGCAAGGGCCGGTGAGGGTGGAGGGCAGCAAGAGCTCTGGCAGTTTCCTCGGTTTGAGGGCAGAGACCCTTAGACATGAGGGCAGCGCAGGCCTTCCGATCAAAGCCTTCACGCCCCCAGCTGGTGGCAATGTCCCGGCGCTCCTCGGGCGTCAATGGTCCGGACCGTGGGGGCCGGCGGCGAGGCCTGGACTCCCAGAGTGAGAGGCGCTCGCCTTCTTGCCATCGCTGAAGCCTGTCAAGAGTGAAGGCAGCAGCAGCCTTGCGGTGTCGCCGACCCCCGCGCCCCGGCGCGCACAGCACACATTGTGGCAGCATCAGAAGCTCCAGCCACGTCGCGACATCATTGCGGTGGGCCACAGCAGCTAGCGCCCGAGTGAGAACCTGGTTCCAGGCGTGCCGCGCAGCCATTGGGATGTGACGGAGGGTGGACGTGCGTGCAGATTGTATGGCAGCCAGGGTAGGCAAAGGCAAGCCGTCCACTTCCATGGCGTCGACGTCATCCACGGCAGCTGCCCTCGCCTCTGGACGGCAGGTTGGGTGGACGCCATAGCGCTCCGACACGCTGAGCCCACACACAGGACAGCGGATGCGCCCACGGGCCTGCATCCAGGCAGTGGGCACGTCCCCATCCAGTGAACCAGCTAAATGCGCATCAATATGGGCACGCATTGAGCTCTCATTCGCCCAACCGCGAGCACGGGCCGGGTCAGAGCACGGGCATCCGGCAACAGGGCAGTAAGTGCGCCCGCCCCGCGCAGCACCGGCGCCACCATGAGCGGGAGCTCGAGGAGGCGGTGAGCGCTCGCGGGGCGGGCGCTCAGACCCGATAGGTGTTCCTGGCTCAGGCCCGGGATGGCTCGCTTCGCCCACGCGCCGGCCTCGCAGAGGCCATCCCATCCAGAAGGACAGCTGCGGCTGCCGCTGCCAAGTGGTCCTCTGCCGCTCACACATATGCCCACGCCGTCGGCGCCACCGTATCACCACCGCCCCACCTCGCAGACCAAGCAAAGGATCCCATACAGGCAAGGGCGTCACCAGGCAAGACACCTGTGCGTTGAGCAGTTTGGTGAGGCGACGCCTGTCACGTCTGCCCAAGCTATCGGGAATCAGCCCGATGGAGTCGGAGCATTCCCCCTCCCAGGTCGCTGCATCGTTTGTCCCCAACCACCACAAGCCCCAGAGCAGGAAGCCAGGAGACGGTGCCATGGCTCACTGTGTGAACCTCGGGACGAGCAGCCTTTCCTTGGCTCAAGCCTTTCCTCGAATCTTGCCGTCGAAGCCTTAAACCCTCAGCCAAGGATGTCATCGTCGATCTTATGGTCTGTATGGACAAAGAGTCAAAAACACAACACAATCCATCATGAGGTCCAAAACACCACAACCCAACTGCAATTTTCACACGTGTGGTGACAGGTGTATGGTTGTAAGTTCTAAGTTTAATTCATTTGGGTTAAGGTTTTTTTTTTTAAGTTTAGGTGGCTTGCAAGACTGCGAAGATAATTAAGCACGTGCCCTCGATTGTCAGGCCGCCGACGGCTCGGGCCTCTTTCTGACGTGCATCGGTCAAGCTTTGCCTGTTACAGCTGCCTGGTGCGTGCAACGCGGTGGAGTCATAGGCCTCTTTGGTTTAATCGAGGGCCGCATGAACCGGTATTTGAAGAAGTATATCTGCAAAACCCACGAGTGTCCACCCTCTGCCAAGATGGATCCTGACCAAGCTGCCAACCGGGTCGGCACCTACAGCGGCTCCACCAGCAGGTCACCGATGGGCACCTCGGCGCCGTCGCTGGGGTCGACGCGCTGGGGTCGACGGGGCATGCCAAAGTGGCTGCATTTTTTTTAGCACGCCGTTTTGCCCAACGTTCATCGCGGTCCCAGTGCAGGTGGCATCGCAGATACCTACGTGATCGGGGGGCGAGAGTGGGGGGCGGGCAGACGACTATGGCCAAGCGGCTGGCAAGGGGAGGACCCTCGGACGAGTCTACAAAGATTGGAGGAGCGGCGCATCCCCATCGAGGTAGGAGGTCCCGACCAGGGGCAAAGCAAGAAGGCTGGCTGCGAAGGACCTGGCAGCTGCAACGGAAAGGATTGCTGACCATCGGAGTGCGAAGGCAGGCGTGCTGGCAGCGCGGGATGATGGGGGCGCAGCCCGGGCACGGCAGCGGGCGAGCACCGCCTTCAATGTCGAGAACGACAAGGTAAGCCTCCAAGGCCATCGGTAGCCGCCTCGGCTCGGCGGCGGAGGATAGCGCGACGGCATCGGCAAGCAGCTGCAGCTAGCGGAAGCGGCAGGCGAAGCCGGCGCAGAAGCAAAACACGGAATATCGACGACTCAAGCTGCAGCTCAGGCGAGGTGGGCCGAGCAAAGAAAAAGCGAGCAGCGCATGGGCCCGACTGCAAATCCAGCAGCGCGACCGACGCCTCATCGAGCTCGCTGCGCAAGGCCCTGCGACAAAAGTCATCAACCGCCCTAGGCTTCCCGCTGCCAACCCTTGGAAACCTCGAGGCCGACCTCCTCGGCGGGTGGGGGCGGGTCAGACCTAGCAAGCGTTGACCACTCGGGCACATCATAGCCAGAGCCCGACAGTGAGGTAGTAAATTTCACCCGTAGGCTTAACTTTCGGGCATGCGGAACTTGCCAACTAGGTGTAAGTTGGCAGGTGTTAGGACGCACTGCCGGACTTCGCGTTTGAAGGTTTAGCGTGCGTCGGAACGCACACCCGGTACTTTTTGCTTTGCACGCATCATCAAAGGAAATCGTAGTGAATGGTTTGCACGCGTGGGAATGCACACCCGGTACTTCTTGCTTTCCGCGCATCATCAGGTGGAATCATAGTTCATTCATCGCTGCCCCCGCAACTTGATTTCTGAGACGCGCGGGACATCCAAGGCTCAGTCGGTCTGTGATTCTACGGTGTTTTTGACCAACAACAGTCCAAACCAGGGCCCCTAGCCCTTTCGGTTCGCTGTTTTTCTTAGGCCCGCAAGAGCAGGTCTTTGGGCCCAAGATACTTTGGAGCAGGTTTTTTTGCTACGGGTTTGGGAAGGTTTTGGCGCGCCTGAATTGTTTGCGGGGCAGGGACCTTTGTCAAGGTTCGGCTCGCCTTCGGAAGGCTGCCACAAACTTTGGATGAGGTTTTGCTTTTCCTATGTTTGCCATACGCATACGTCCGCATCTTGGAGGTAGGTTCTACAAATTGCAGCACGCATGTAACTCGAAGAGAACATTCCTTTCTGCACGTTGCGCTCGATCAGTGCTATGACGATAAAAAGACAACTTGTTTCTTTGAAGCCATCTACATGTTGTTCGGCAAAAGCGGCGCAAGCGAGTTTGGATGCAACAACCTCTCTCAACGCAGCAAACCAAAACACGATAGGCGCGGAGGCCAGTCAATTCGGGACCCGTTTTTTTTCTCTCACAAGGGTTGGGGCGCCTTGGCTGGCTTAGCGCTGCTGGCGGCCTTTGGCGTCAAAATTCTCACCTATTCTGCCAAGCTTGCGTTGTCGCTCCTCGGCAGCCACCCAGAGTTCCGAGGAAGTTTCGAGGAGGTTTGGAGGAGGTTTCGAAGGAGTTTCGAGGAAGTTTCGAGGAGGTTTCGAGGAGGTTTCGAGGAGGTTTGGAGGAAGTCTCGGGGTGGCTTCGTCGAGGAGCATCCAAGGAGGCCGGTGAAAGGACCAGGAAGAGGAAGTTTCGAGGAAGTTTCGAGGAGGTTTCGAGGAGGTTTCGAGGAAGTTTCGACGAAGTTTCGAGGGGAGTCGTGGGACATCGCGCCGGCGTCCGCCAAAAACTAGAAGTTCCGCCGCTTTACAGACTCCGGCGATGCATATCCGAGTTTCAAAGCCAACCATGCCACGAAGGCAGTCGAGGACCATCAACGACGCCTGTCAGCGCAAACGCAGCGGAACCATGACTTTGCGGGCTTGACAAACAACGCCAGCTACAAAGCAGCTGCAACATAGGGGCCAAGGCGGGACAGCTGGGCCTGTAAGCTTTGACAGTAGAACAGTATAAATCGCAACGCGCCAGCTTTGCAAGACACAATACCCCGGTGTTTCCAGCGCCGAAAATTAGCATTGTAAATTTGCGTCATTTGGGGTTCGCTGCCGGCCCCACAAGTTTTTCGAACGCACTGATATGATCTGCTGTCAGCAGACGAGTAACCTGCTGGACATCCGTCCAAAAGATCAAGAAGGCCCTGCGACAAGGGCTCAACCAGAAACATCTCAGGGTTTCAGGGCGCTGAACAATGACATCGTGAGCTCGTGACACCACATCCGGCAGCGACACCAGAACTTGAGGTGTTTGAGGAGAAGATTCCGTGTCTGAGTCGGGCGCATCGGGGCAGAAACTACCTTGGCAGCTGCCTTTGCATCGGCATATCCTTTGCTTGAGTTCTTGATGACTTGCTTGTTGAGGCTGACCTCCAACATTCATCTTGATGCTACAGGGACACAATGTCCCCCACCCCTCTCAAAGCCCGAGTCCTGCGTCGCCTGGCCTTCACAGGTCTGCAATCCGAGTCTGGCTTGTGTTACAGCGCGCGTTGCAGTGACTGGATGAGCTGACCAGTTCGACTCTCTCGCGATGTAAACTGTAAACACTGCTGCGTGTTATTATCGCGTCCGCAGCACGCTTGATTCAACATTTTTGGTTGCGCGAACGCCCTGAACGCGGCTTCAGCCTGAGAGCTTTGGCAGGCCTGGTTGCACTTGTTCACGCACATGCAAAGAGGCTTGGTGAAATTTACTACAGTGAGGTAGCACAGTCCCGATCGAGAAGCCCCTCAGCAAACGCGGGCTCGCGATGGGCGATGACCTTGAGCGCATCAGCCCAGGATGCCCAATAGGCCGTGGGCGCCCGCAACAGCAAGCAACGGCAACGCAGCGGCCTCGCCAGGTGTCAGGAGAGCTTCAAGTCACTGCATGACAGGGCGGTCATGCCCCTGCGTGGCCTCGGCGCGTCGCACACGTGCCCTGCGGCGGGGGCGCGGCGTGGTCGTCGGCGGGCCGCGCTACGCTGCCAGCGCGAAAAGTCTCAGAAAGCGCTGCGGCCTCGACTGCAACGGCGTGGCCTCCGTACGCCTCGAGCAATGCCGCCTGGGTCAGCGCCGGTGCATAGCCTTCGCGATCCACGAGGCATGCCAGTGCGCGGCTGAAAGGGAGGCAGGCTGAGTTGTCCCCCCGACGCTTCGGCGCTTGCAGGGGTGGCGTCCTCGGATTCCTCGGCTTCCGCCAACGCGTACAGCAGGGCAGCCAGCCTTTCGACAAGTAGCGCCGCCGCGCCGGCGAGTGCGCGAACCAGTCGGCACCAGCGCTCGCCGCAGAGCGGGTGCTGTGCCCATGCTGATGTGATTTCGGAGGAAAGCGTGCCCACAGCCGCATGCAACAAGGGAACGTACAACCAGGAGTTTCTGCACCCTTCCGGCCGCCCAGGCGGGCAGCGGCAAAGCCAAGTGGGGCGGCCCCGTGTGGCTAGTTCGGGGCCGCTGGACCTGGCGTCGTTTGGCCGGGCGCTGTTGGGGGCGCGTCTCCTGGAGTGCTGGCGGAAACGCTGGCGCCTCGGCCGTGAGGGGGCCCCCACGTGGCGATGCCAATGGCGTGTGCACTAAGGGTGTCGGAAAGCGTCTCCGCATCCGAGGCTAGAGGCGCTGTGGGCGGGAGGAGTCCCATTTGGGCCAGGGCATGCAGCGTGCGGTCGCGGCGGTTTGCAACGTCATCTGGCGGGCCGGGGTTCGCCGCTTCGCCGACGCGTACGCCGTCGTACGGGTGGGCGGGCGGCTCCAACAGACCTAGCACGGGATAGGCGCTGCTCCAGATCTGATGCCGCTTGCTGTCCCAAGAACACCTGCAGTAAGGTTTCTTGCGCTGTGGCGGGGAGCACGCAGAGCTGTTGCGCCCTATCCTGTGCGATCTCGGGGTAGGTGGCTCGTTTGCGCCGCTCGGCCGTGCACAGCACGCCCCCCCGCGGTTTGCGGCCCCACCGTGCTCAGTGCTTGCGTCGCAGCAAAGCACTCCTGCCAACGGGGTCGCCCTACACGACGAGCAGGTGCTGACGGTCCCTTGGTGGTACTGCCAGCTACGGCTGCGGCAAAACAAACCACCTGGCCCTCAGGGCCGACAGCCGCGCGTGCGACAGCAAACCAGGTCACCGTGCTCATCGACGAAGCGGCCACACCCCGGGATGGACTGCCCGCCATGCCCGCCGCAACGCCGCGCGGCCAGCGGAAGTGACAGGCGAAGGCATCGCCTCAGTGCGATCTGCATCATCACCGGGGAGAGCGTAGTGTGGGGGTCACTTGGGATGGCCGTGAGCCATGCGCCGGCATGGGGCCCAGCCTGTGTGAACGCATAAGAGCACGATGAGCGGGCGACAAGGCAGCAACACGCGGTCGCGGAAAAAAAGGTTCCGAGTACACGACGCGTGAAACTGCCCGAATTGCTCCTTCTGCGTCCTGTGGCCCGCTGTGTGTGGCGTGCGCATCCCGTGATCGGCGCCTTGTGGCCCCATACGGTAGCTGCCCTGCTCGCACGGCCTTTGCTGCCCGTGCAAGAACCTGCCGCTGGTGTCGCGCATGTGGAACGCGCTTTCGCCTCGTCCGTGCAGTTGTCCCCCTCGCTCCACCGCTTTCGAGATTGGGTTGGGCCGTGACAACCACACATCATTTCCCTCGCTAAGCTGCTCTCCGCAATTGCGGTGCAGAATTAGGGTCATTATCTCGCGGCTCCTTTGCAGGTCCTGCTGACGCTGCTCCTAGGCCCACCTGTAGTCGGCGCACTCGAGCGGCTTATTGAGGACTTGCGACGGCCGCTGCAAGCACTTAACCTCTGTGACCCCGCCAAACCGCCATTGACCCAGCCCTGCCAAACCCCCACCACACGCTGCGAGTTGCTGACGGCAGCGAGTTGCTGACACCAGCCTACCAGTAGTTCGCGTCCCACTCGCGTGCCAGAGGCCGGCGTGGCGGGACGCGAACTCGGACGCGGGCAACGACGTCGCGCTGGCCGCCATGAACATCGATGTGCCGGTCCACGATCCGTGGCGCATCGAAGTCGTTTGTAACGGCCTGCCGCTTTGGCATGGGGCACAACTTGCCGTTGACGCCACCCTCGTCAGCCCGTGGCCCAAGATGGACGCCCGCATGACGGCGTGGACAACCACCCGGATTGGGCCGTCCGCATCGCAGCGAGGCGCAAACGACGGCAAACGTACCCCGAGCTATATGGGAGCCGGGCTCGGCCATTGGTGGGGGCTGCATGCCAGGGCAATCGGCCTGGGAAAATTGTTGGGCAAGTGTGCGAGCTACCAATCGTCGCAAGAGATCCCCGATGACGAGTCGTGACGAGTCTTCTGGTGCCCCCAGGTGGCTTGCGGATGCCGACAAGCGACCGTGCGCGATCATGCGAGACGGTCTGATGCCAACACGCAGGCTTCCGCAGCTACAGCTACCGAGCGACACTCGCGGACGCTTTGTGGATGCTTCGCAGACGCTAGGGCGACGATTTTGGTACCCCAACTCTTTCAACAAGAACCCTTCTGCCATGCATTCAGGAATGATTGAAGGCTGCATCCCCAAAACTGTTCGTGAACAACTCCGTGCCCCCTCGCAGCCAGTTACATGAGACCGTGTATGGGAACTATGAACCCAGCTATGTCGCAGGCTTCTCGACATGAAGCGTCTACGTTTCCCGAGGGGCACATCGCGCGTGCAGCTTTTGTTCCCTTTCTTGCGCTACCTCTTTCTGAAGGTCTTGGCGTCCAACCCTCAAGGTATGTATAGTGCTTAGCCACTAAGCGTTTCACTAAGCCTTGGCAAGAGGAGCTAACAGTCGCACAATGAGCGCCTTCCAGTCGTACCCGGCTGTACTGCATGGGAGTGTGGCCTATGTGCCGCCTGTGAAATCGCACTATACGATGCTATGCATACGGCCTGAAGGCTGCAGGGATTTGAAGGATTGGAGGTTGAGACTTCAGAGAGGTACAGCGCCGGCTCAGCGTGCAGCAAACGCCCTCTGGACGCCCTGCCCAAGGGGAGGTTCACCAGGAGACATAACGTTGGACAAACTCGCACAAACTCTTGCTTATTTGGGCAAATCATCGGCTTGCGCAGTTCTGGACTGTCGATGCGCAACCCCGTGCTTGGTCAGAATCGTCTGAAGAACCTATTCACCTACTCCTCTGTCTGACCCACTTGTACATGAGTTATCATGAGTTCTTCGGAACCTACAATGCCGCAACAAGGGAATCGAGGCCACGGGGGCTTGAGTTGATGACTGGGACTTTCTGATGTTTTTTGGATGCTGGGCCGATCTGGAGGCAGCCGCGGGACCTGCAGGCAAAAATCACAAAGCTATCCGATCTGTTACACCTTGGGAAGTTCCCGCATGATGGGCTCGAAGTCAAACTCGACGGACAGAAGGGCCTTCCATGCCGGCAGGCATGAGTCGTGAGTGTTCTGCACTAAGCAACTGCGATGACAAAACAGGTATGCGCCATGTCTGCGCATATGCCAGGCGATTTTTTGTCTTTAAAGCTCCGTCAGTGCAGTTGATAGAGCTTGCAGCTCGACTGTTGCAAGCCCTTGCGCATGTCGAGGTACAGGAAAGAACTTATGGCTTATGGGAGGCCGGCGCGGTTCCAAACCTCCGGACCTGTACACTTGCCGAGGATCAAGCCCCTAAGAAGATCTAAGAAGCGCCTAAGAAGCACCTGAGAAGCAGAGCCCCTTAAGGAAGTCACACTCATCTTCTCGGAAGCCTCGCTGGCAAGGACTCCGTCTGGGCCGCTTTTCAGCAACTCCTGCAGCCAACATGTGCTCTCCCCCCACAGTGTTACAAGTGCAACTCAGAAGCGTTGACGGGTCGCGGCCCATGGGTGTTTGCCTTCCTCCGCGAACCCTGGGTGATTCAACCTAGATGCACCTTTAGGTTCCCACTGGCCATGCTGCAAGTTCTGCAGCTAAGGCAATTCAACCCTATGACCCCCAAATCATCAGTACCTCTTCCCCACGATCTCTGCCAATCAACCATAACTTAACAATGTAAGCCAGCTTCTGCTTCGTCTCAGATCCCACGCTGGGGTGAAGGATTTACTCGCAATGAGGCTTGATGAACTACTGCGGACGCTAGCCGCCACCCCAACCTACTCGTCCGCAGGCCCTCCAATGCACTTCGGTTTCTGGGGCCCTGCCTCGTTTAGCCACTTCGCCGACCGCACGTGGCAATAATTGTCCGCTTCCCTGAAGGCCGAGTTGGCCGTGAAGTGAGCAAACACTTGGGGTTCGGTTGAGGTTCGGTATGGTTCGGCGTTTGGCGCTTTGACTCAACGCACCTCTCGAGGATGTTTGTCACTCCTGCTTGCTCGGAATCATGTAAGCTCTGATTGATTTGCGGCATTTCGAGTTGTAATAGGCACACGCACAGACATACTGATAAATATGTGCAGATACATCCGCGCGCCGATCACGGCACGTCACCATCACCGCGCCCTCCCCTCCCTCCCCATCCGCGCAGCCAAGAAAAGCATGGACATGTGGGGTTCTCCGGTCCTTCAATTCAATTGCAAAACTGTTTCCTCTGCAATGTCCGACCTCAGCATCAGTCGCCCGATAATGACTCTCGCTTCGTTATACTCTCCATTAGCCTCCACGTGACCGCGTGACCCTAAACCTCGCAACACTGCCACTACCCCTCTACCCACCCACTTTTGCTACCTTTGCCTCAAACTTGGCCTCTACCATCGTCAACATGGACCTGGAAGCTTCGTGCACCTCGCCAAGTGCACATCCTCTGTGACCAAGATCTGCCGCCGAGGATATGGACGCATGAGCATTTCCAGCATGTACCTCTTCAAACCGAGCACTCCAATTCTGGCACGGTCCCTAGAGGCCTAAGCTGGGCGTAGTTTAGGAGAGCTTGCGTTTCATTCGTCCTGGACGGGACGCGCCAGCGCTCTGGCAGCCCTAATGCAACTTGCTTCTCTTTCCTCATCTGAACCCGCCGAAATGCGCCTTTACGAACCCATACCATGTCAAGGAGCATGACCGGGCTAACCAGGACTGGCTACAGCTGCTTCCGTTCCTCTTCCAGCTGGACCGGTACATCACAGTCTGCGAGTTCTCAAAACTCTAATCATGTGAAAGCTGAGAATTATGCTGCCTCTCAAACTTACCTGGATGCTGTGGATCTGGTCACCACACGTGACCCCCGGAAGGTCGCATGATCTCACGATCGCAGCGATACAGTTCACGGGCGCTCGTGTCAACGTAGGACTGAGAGAACCTGGCAAGCAAGGACGCAAGGCTTCCTGAACGAGTAACCGGGACACTCATGCTGAAAAGCTGGCTGCCAAGAGCCTCACACCATTGAAAACCAAGCTCATGGGTTCACAACGTCGTCCAAACACTTCCATACAACTATGGGCTAGTCATGGGTTCGACGCACAACGAGCTGGCAATCTCGGAACACACCTGGACCCGGAAGCAATTTCTTTCAA